TGGTGGGGAGTGAGGACCCCAGGTACCTTCACAGGTGTCTCTGCAGGGCTATTGTGCAGAAGGTCGCCATCTGGATGACATCTGTGGCCGGCCCTGGGGCAGCTCTACCTGTGATTTCACATGTGCCCCATGTCCCCCGACAGCTGGGCATGGTAGCCCATTTTCCAGATGCAGCAGTTGAGGCCCAGGGAGGGGAAGCACAGGCTGGAATCAGAAGCAGCTCCTTGCCTGGGTTTGAGTCGATTCCAGGTGGGCTGGTACAGGGCACCAGGGAGCCACCGGCCCACCATAGCTGCCCTCTGACTGGTGCCCCTGATGTGCTGGTAGTAGGCTCTGCACTCTTTGGTTCTGGGTTTGATGGAGAGAAGGATGGTGCTAGTGAGATACCAGTCTGGGGTACGTGTCCTTAGAGTGTCCCCCCATTGGGATGGAGTCACACCGTATCGAGGACAACCAGATCCGAGCCTCCTCCATGCTGCGCCACGGCCTGGGGGCACAGCGCGGCCGGCTCAACATGCAGGTGGGCACTGGGATGGGCCCATCTCCCAGTTGGGACAAGGGACTCCTCCGCCCATGCTCAGCCTCCTCTGTCCCCTGGACAGGCCGGTGCCACCGAGGATGACTACTATGATGGTGCATGGTGTGCTGAGGACGATGCCAGGACCCAGTGGATCGAGGTGGACACCAGGAGGACTACCCGGTTCACAGGCATCATCACCCAGGGCCGAGACTCCAGCATCCAGTGCGTGGCCAGGCTCATGGGCAGTCGGCAGGGGCAGGTGGCTCCACAGGCATGGCTCTGTGTTCCAGTGGGCCCTTGAGCCAGCCAAAGAAGGCCAGAAAGATCAGTGAGGGGCTGACCCTGCCCATCCTCACTCTTCAGCCATGGCCAGTCAGCCCCTGTGTCATGATGAGCACATGAGTTTAGGGACAGATCACCTGCCCACGGCCATGTGATGGCCATAGGACCCAGGCTCGACACTTGGGCCATGCGCCACAGCCTTGCTAGCTCTTAAATTCTTGGGGGTTAGAAGAGGGAGGCTCAGGCCGCCTGAGGGCCTTGCTCTGACCACTGTCCACTCCACAGTGATGACTTTGTGACCACCTTTTTTGTGGGCTTCAGCAACGACAGCCAGACGTGGGTGATGTACACCAACGGCTATGAGGAAATGGTGGGCACCACACACAGGCTCTCGGCTCCGCTCCTATTGTCTGGGCGGGGGGTGGGCTCTCAGAGGGCCTGGCAGTACCGCTCTGAGGCCTGCCTCTCCCCAGACCTTTCATGGGAACGTGGACAAGGACACACCCGTGCTGAGTGAGCTCCCGGAGCCAGTGGTGGCTCGTTTCATCCGTATCTACCCACTCACCTGGAATGGCAGCCTATGCATGCGCCTGGAGGTGCTGGGGTGCCCTGTGGCCCGTGAGTGTGGGAGCTGGCAGGGACTCGGAGGGGAGGTGGGGTGTTAGGGTGCCAGCTGGCACCTGGCTAAAGACAACCCTGCCTCCCTTGCAGCTGTCTACAGCTACTACGCACAGAATGAGGTGGTGGCCACCGACGACCTGGATTTCCGACACCACAGCTACAAGGACATGCGCCAGGTTGGGAGTGGCTGTCTCGGGGCTGGGGTGGGACCTGTCTGTGACTGACAGGGGAATGTGCGCCTGGTGCTTCTGTCACTGGGCCCAGTCCCTGCTGGTTCCAGGGATGTTGACTGTCCCTCACTTTAGGAAGGAGACCAGCACCTGGGGGCTGCCTGAGGGCAGCTGGGGTTGCCCGAAGGGGTCATGGCTCTCCATCACCATAGAGTGGACCCTGACAGTGGAAGGGGTCTGGTCAGTGGGGGAGGGGGGGATTGTGTGATCGATTCCATGTCCTCCCCCTCTGCCCCAGCTCATGAAGTTGGTGAACGAGGAGTGCCCCACCATCACCCGAACTTACAGCCTGGGCAAGAGCTCACGAGGCCTCAAGATCTATGCTATGGAGATCTCAGACAACCCTGGGGAGCATGAACTGGGTGAGGGTCTGTGGGGGCATTATTCTGCCCTGGAGGCATGTCCCGAGTGCTGCTCAGGAGAGGGCTCAGCTTCACCTCCCACATGGGATGGAGGCACTACAGCTGGCCTGCGCTGCTAACGTGCAGAGCTCACTGACTCCTGCCTGTTCTGGAGCCTCTTTGGGGATTCTGGCCTGTCTTGTAGGGCCCTAGAGCCCCAGTTGTCCTCCAGACCCTCGGTGTGAAGTGGGTCTGAGTCCTTCCTCAGCTGACCTGGGCCTCGGGAGACTGAGTGCTTGCTGAGGCTCCTGCCCTTGCAGGGGAACCCGAGTTCCGCTACACTGCTGGGATCCATGGCAACGAAGTGCTGGGCCGAGAGCTGCTGCTGCTGCTCATGCAGTACCTGTGCCGCGAGTACCGCGATGGGAACCCACGTGTGCGTAGCCTGGTGCAGGACACACGCATCCACCTGGTGCCCTCGCTGAACCCTGATGGCTACGAGGTGGCAGCGCAAATGGTGGGTTGAGGGGTGAGGCTGGCCAGGGGCCAGGCCGCCAGGACTTGTGGGGGTGGGGTGGCCCATGCCTACTCTGCTGGTTCCCCACAGGGCTCAGAGTTTGGGAACTGGGCACTGGGACTGTGGACGGAGGAGGGCTTTGACATCTTTGAAGACTTCCCGGATCTCAACTCTGTGCTCTGGGGAGCTGAGGAGAGGAAATGGGTCCCCTACCGGGTCCCCAACAATAACTTGCCCATCCCTGAACGCTACCTTTCACCAGACGCCACGGTGAGGCTGCCGCCGGGCTGACAGAGCAGAAGGGAGCAGCCGGACCCTGGGGTCCTGGTGTTCTGGGCTTGGGGGTCGGGTTAGTGGTGCCTGAGCTCCAGACGCTGAGGCTCTGGGGGTTGGGGAACAGGGGAGTGTGCAAGTACTGGTGTGACGCTTCCTGGAGAATGACTGGGCCAGGTGGGGCATGGTGGCCAGAGGCTGCAGCCTTGGTCTCACACGGGCTGGCCACCCCAGGTATCCACGGAGGTCCGGGCCATCATTGCCTGGATGGAGAAGAACCCCTTCGTGCTGGGAGCAAATCTGAACGGCGGCGAGCGGCTAGTATCCTATCCCTACGACATGGCCCGCACTCCTACCCAGGAGCAGCTGCTGGCCGCAGCCATGGCAGCCGCCCGGGGGGAGGATGAGGACGAGGTCTCTGAGGCCCAGGAGACCCCAGACCATGCCGTCTTCCGCTGGCTCGCCATCTCCTTCGCCTCCGCCCACCTCACCTTGACAGAGCCCTACCGCGGAGGCTGCCAAGCCCAGGACTACACCAGCGGCATGGGCATCGTTAACGGGGCCAAGTGGAACCCCCGGTCGGGGAGTGAGTCAGCCTGGGAGGGGCTGTGGGCGGGGCCTGCCCCGGAGAGGGGCTGACTCTGGGTCTGTGTTTGCTCCCGGCCAGCTATCAATGACTTCAGTTACCTGCATACTAACTGCCTGGAGCTCTCCTTCTACCTGGGCTGTGACAAGTTCCCCCATGAGAGTGAGCTGCCCCGCGAGTGGGAGAACAACAAGGAGGCGCTGCTTACCTTCATGGAGCAGGTGAGGCGGCCGGGGCAGCGCCTGGGGAGAGGAGGGCTCACGGCCCTGCACAGGCCCTGGACGGGCGGGAGGAAGCAGCGGACCACATTGGATCTTCCTGAGGCCCAACAGCCCTCACCTGCTTCCCCAGGTGCACCGCGGCATTAAGGGGGTGGTGACGGATGAGCAAGGCATCCCCATTGCCAACGCCACCATCTCCGTGAGTGGCATTAATCACGGCGTGAAGACAGGTACTTAGTGTGCACACCTTTACCCCCACTTCCTGAGGGAGGACCCTACGGGGGGGGGGGGGGCCTGGGGTGGGACTCAGAGGGGGAGGGCGGGGCCTGGGGGCAGGACTGAGTGGGAGGGTGGGGGCCTGGGAAGGGCGCTTTGGAGCACCCGGCTCGTCCTCCCTCTGCAGCCAGTGGTGGCGATTACTGGCGAATCTTGAATCCGGGTGAGTACCGCGTGACAGCCCACGCAGAGGGCTACACCCCAAGCGCCAAGACCTGCAATGTTGACTATGACATTGGGGCCACTCAGTGCAACTTCATCCTGGCTCGCTCCAACTGGAAGCGTATCAGGGAGATCATGGCCATGAACGGGAACCGGCCCATCCCACGCATAGACCCATCGCGTCCTATGACTCCCCAGCAGCGACGCCTGCAGCAGAGGCGCCTACAGCACCGGCTGCGGCTTCGGGCACAGATGCGGCTGCGGCGCCTCAACGCCACCACCACCCTAGGCCCCCACACTGTGCCCACCACGCTGCCCCCTGCCCCTGCCACCACCCTGAGCACTACCATGGAGCCCTGGGGTGTTGTACCCCCAACTACCGCTGGCTGGGAGGAGTGGGAGACTGAGACCTACACAGAGGTGGTGACAGAGTTTGGGACTGAGGTGGAGCCCGAGTTTGAGGAAGAAGAGGAAGAAGAGGAGGAGATGGCCACTGGTCAGGCATTCCCCTTCACAACAGTGGAGACCTACACAGTGAACTTTGGGGACTTCTGAGATCAGGATCCCACTAAGGCCCCATCAGCCCATCTCCAGCTACAGCAGCAGCACTTCGCAAGCCTGCTGACCATAGTCACATCACCCATTAGCACACAGAAGGCCCTGGTGTGGACACTGCAGGAAGGGCTGGTCCTACCCTTCGAGGGGGTGCAAAGATGACCAGGACCTAAGAGCCAGAGGCTTTGTGGAGGCTCCTGCTCCACCTGCCAGTCTCATGAGAGATGGGGTTGCTGCAGTGTTGGAGTGGGGGCAGGGGAGGGAGCCAAAGTCACTAGAATAAAACAAGCTCATGGCACAGACTGCTCACATTCTGAGGGCTCCGGGAGGGGGAGGACGAGGGAGATTGGCCTATGGGTACAGAGGCTATGGTCACTGTGGACACCCCATACCCAGAGTGCCCAGGGGCTCAAGGCTTGCATCAGCAAGTGCTCAGGCTTTATTTACAATGCAGACACTGTGGGGAATGAACAGCCTCCATCTGGGCCTCTCTGGTCAAAACCAACTTTTTGAGTCAGGGGCCCAGTCCCAGGCCTCCCAGGTCATCATCCTCTGCCCCAAAGCCCGAGAAGCTGATGGGCTGGCAGGCCAGGCTGCGCAGGTTCACGAGGCAGGCGGTCTGCGTGGCACTGAAGTCAGGGACGGTCACCAACAGCACTTTCTGGTTCTCAGGACCTGCAAAGAAGCCACATAGGACCCACTGTAGGTTTCAAGTAAGTCCTGCCTTAAAGAGAAGCTGCCAGAAATAAACAGGAGTCCCCACTGGCACGCAGTGGGGTGGTGACAATAGGAGACCAGAGGCCAGCCCTGAGAAGCACACAGGCTGGGAGCCGTTCCAGCCCCTGCCCAGCTGGCCAGGCAGCTTGGCTCCCACAGTGACACGATGGCTGTGCAGCAGACCTCGGCTGTCCATCCCACAGGGGCCAGGGGGACTCCACAATGCAGGTTTTCCTTTGTGAACCTTGTCCCCACGTGAGAGCAAGTCCTTCATGACAATTCAGGCTTGGGTCCCCAGAAGACAAAAATTACCTCGGATGATTTTGGAGCCAAAGCTGGGGGTGCTGCCACAAAAGTAGACATGTGGGCACTCTGCGAAGATGAATGGGTCGGTTTTGTAGAAGGGGTAACAACCTAGAGGAGAGGGCCAGCTCTGAGGAGGGTTCCAGCCTCAGCATGAGTACCCCGCACAGGATGTGGGGCCACAGCCCACCCTCCCACTGCAGGCCAGTAGCAGACCCCCAGGGTGACAACAGGAGCACCTGCAGACATTGCCACAACAGCTTGGCCCTGCTATTGCTACCCATTGGGGTGGGCAGCCCATGGTCATAGAATTAAGATTCCAGAATAGCTTTCAGAGCAGGCACCAAGTCTCTGAACTTGTCGTCAGTTCTCAGCAATACTGGCAAGTGCAAACCCACAAGGGGACCCTGTGCACTTTGGGGCCGTGCCAGGCCTCCTGGCCCCCTGCTTCCACCCCATGTGGCTGAGTGTGTTACCTAGAGTGTCAGGGGCTGTGGGGCTGATGTGACGGACCCGGAGGGTCCACTCCAGGATCTCCAAGTGATCCTCCATGCTGCTGTACCGGAAAATGTCACTCACATTCTGTCCTGAAGTCCCCAGGAATCTGCAAGGCAAAGCTCGGCTGACCCTTGGCTAAGGGTGCCACCCACAGTGTTCAGCCCAGAGCTCATCTGGTGATCCTGTGGGGGTGCCCCAGAGAGAAGGAACAGATGCCAGGTGGGCCTCTGCAGCCTTGTCACCTTCCTGGACCCTCCCTCCCCTCTTTGTGCCTCCTGAGGCAAAAGGCTAGGTGAGACTCAAGTATGGCTGTGCCAGCTACCTGACTCCATCAATGGTGGCCTGGTAGGGGTTGGTGACCAGCTGGAGTGTGGAGTAGGCAGTGGCCAGCGGGAACATGCAGGGGTGGAGGGGCTGCTGCGGGAGTGTGTAGTTGGTGGGATCAAACTCGCCTGGCATCACATCCACGGGCACTGAGGCCTGGAAAACACAGGGCAGGGAGAGCTCACAGGGCCCCAAAGGAGCCCCCCGCCCCAACTCCAGCCACTCCCCCTGCCTTCCTGCCTGCCTTCTGTTACCCAGTGGCAGCTTTGAAGACTGCAATCCCCATCACCCCTCCAGCCACCAGCTCACTCACGCTCAGCTGCAGGAGGATCTCATCTAGCATCTTCACAGCCTCCACGCTGGCTGCCTGGGTTTTCTTGGTGAGGTACTTGGCCTAGAATAGAAGCCCAGGAGACCATCAGGCCCAGGCAAGTCCCAGCCTCAGAGGAGAGCAGAGCACCACTAGCTGGAAGATGCAGGTGTCGTCCCATAGACCCTCACTCCCTTCTAGCTTCCCACCGCCCTCAGCAAGGGTCAGGGCACGAGGAGCCCTAGTGCAGGAGGCCCCAGGGTCATTGCAGGGTGCTTCCAACTGACCTGCAAGATCCCATAGGGTCCCTAACTTGTCATGGGGAAGGAGGGTCTTACAGGAGGCTCACAGGCTCCCGGGCTGGGGCTGAATGCAGCCAGGCGGGCTCCATACCTTGTTGATAGAATCTCTGCTCTGGGTGCTGTGGCTGAGGAGGTTGCCAGCGAGGATGACCCGGGAGACGTGGGCAGCACTGCACTGCTCCCCTTCGTCCCCAAGCTGCCCTGTCACCACGTCCACCAGCAGCTGGGTGCCCAGCAGGCTCTCGCCTCCACCTCCACCCAAGCCCAGGCCGGACACCAGCAGCACGAACCTACGGGAGAAGGGGGGTCCTCCAGGGTGCTGAGAAGGGAGGGAGCCCCTCCCAGGTGTGAATCAAAGATTCCACTGACCGTGAGCTGGTTCCGGCCCCCAAGAACCACTGCTCACCTATCTGTGTCAAGAGGGGGTGCGGGCTTCTGGGGCGCGAGGTCAGCAAAGCAATGGTCCTCGACCAGAAACTTCCCGTCATCTCTCACGGAGCCAAACACGGCCAGAACGGTCCCTGGGGAGCAGTGGCATCAGGCCTGAACGGGGAGCCCCAGGTGCTACCAATCCTTCCAGTCACCCCAATGGGCAAAACCAGTCAGTCCTCCACAGCCACACTGGTGAATTCTCACCTACGACTCCAGGATGCATGCCTGCTTCCTCGGGTCACTGCCTTTGGATGGAGGCGGGGAGACCCATCTCCCAGCCAGATCGCATCCACTCTGATGGCCTCCGACTGCCTGGAGCCTCAGATACCTCCTCAAGAACATATGCGTGCCCAGGCCACACGCCCCCAATGCCTCCCTGAGTCCCCACTCACATCATCTCTAACACATTCCTGCTGGGCTCTTCACCTGCATCACCCTCGCTCCCTCATTGGGCTACCTACCTGTAACCAACTTTGACACATCAATAGTGCCTTTTAGTTTGATACGCTGCAGTTCATCTTCCAAAACCAGCTCGTCATCTGGGTGGATGTATTTGCTCCGAGGAGGCTGGGGTAGCAGGTTGTGCTGGAATGCAGAAACAAGAGGTAGTCTTGGGGCTGGAGCCCAGCAAGGCTCTGGTGTTGGTGAGCTGGCACTGCAGCCCCCACCCCTCTGCAGCCCATCACCTCTGAACCTGCTTCCCCACCCCTCATCCCCTGGGAGGTGGTCTAGGGGAAGGCTGGGTCTGCCTGGCCGCTCCTCTGTGGGGTGCCCTGCCTCACCTCCTCGCTGATCTCCCGCAGGATAGAGGGCTGCAGCGGCATGGCTTTGAACAGAGTGCCCACCACACAGCACTTCTCCCCAGGCTGCAGCTCACACAGCTTCTTCACTCCCACTCCACTGCCTGGGACATGACGGGCACAGACTCAGAGATGGAGTGGCCCCCACCCTGACAGAGGCCACGGAGGCCCTGACCAGCCCTCCATGGGGGACCAGTAACAGGGCCCTGGCCCTTGCCAGGAGGAGAAAGCATCAAGGGCAGCGACCCCCTGGACTTCAGGATGACAGTAAAAGGTGAGTCAGCCACAGGAGACCAGGGACTCTGGGTGTGGTTGGGCCCTGGATGCCAAGTGTCCCTCATGAGGCACAGAGAGACAGACACACAGACAAGATGGAGTGTGAAGACAAGGCCAGGAACACCAGGGCGACCTCCAGATGCCGGAGGAGGCCAGGAAGGATCCTCCCCTCAGGTCTTCAAAAGGAGCCAATCCTACTGACATCTGGATTTCAACTTCTGGCCTCCGGCACTGCCAGAGGGTAAATGTCTGTTGTTTTAAGTCAGTGCTATGTTACAGTGGCCGCTAGAAATGAATACAAAGTATTGCTTCACTTATATACCTAAATTACAACACTGATTCTTAAAAAGAAGCATGCCAAGTCTCAACACAGCCCTGCCCTACAAATAACTGCCATTTTCTTTAAGACTTTAGATTTCTTCACCCCGCCCTCACCCCCACCAAAAAATGCTTCATCCCCCTTAGAGCAGAGATACTCAAAATGTAGACCTCAGATCCCTTCCACCCATTCCATTCCCTGTGGAGTTACGTGGCCTTGTTTACCCGGGGCACCTGGGCACCATCTTCCCCAGCCCCTTCCCGGGGAAGAGCAAGAACACATGGGAGGGGCTTGGCACTCTCAAGGAGAAAGGTATGGAGAGTCAGTGCGGGCGGGAGGGAGGAAAACAGGTCCCCGAAAAGCACACATCCAGGCCTGGAGGAAACACTGAGGAAGTGACGGGGTAACGCAGATGCCAGACCAGCCCCTCAGCCCAGCTGACTCCAGCACAGCCCCAGCCCCTGCGGCCTGGGAAGAACCAGGAACATTCCTCAAATCTATACCCTAGGGAGCAGACAGAGGTGAGTAACTCACAATAAGACAAGAAGGATGGCAGCAGCAGACAGCAATGCAACAGACCCCACATCCTCACCTAGCCCACTCATCTCCCCAAAGTGGCCTCAGCGCTATACATGTAACTCAGCCAACCCTGAAAACATGCTAGGAGTAGATATTATCATCCACTGATGCACAGAGAGATTAAGCAATGTGTCCACGGGCACATAGCTGGGATCCAAGTGTGTGCCCGAGTACTGGGCAGAATGACATCCCTGTAACCGATAGCAGGACACGCTTCCACCCAGGCAGTGTCCTGGCACCGAGATCAAAACCGGACACAAAGGCCAACACTTGCCCCCACCGAGCCCACTGGGTCTAGGCAGGAGAGCGACAATAGGCCCTAAACAAGTAACTCACCACTGTGACAAGTGCTGTGAACAAACGATGAGCTGAGGTAGAAAACGGAGGCCCTGGTCGGGCACAGTGGCTACGGGTGGCCTCTCAAAGAACATGACACTTCAGCTGACAGTGGGGCTGAGATGGGGCCATGGGAAGGCCAGGAAAAGAGTGTGCCAAGTGAAGGGAAAAGCCTACAGCAGGAAGGGCTGGGCAGGTTCGGGGACCAGGTGAGTGGAAAGACCAATTTGGAGAGACAGGCTGAGCTTCAGTGAGGTTGCGCAGACCACACGGAGAAGCCACGTGGAGGTGTTCAGGGTGATGGCCAGCATCGACCGCCAGGCCTGGGAGTGAGCACTACCGCTGCCCCGCCGCTATCAACACATTCATTGTGGCAGCTGTTTGGTTTCCTGACCGGTGTGTGGGCACAGTGAAATCGCTGTCGTCCAGCACTGTGGAGCTGTGTTGGCAGCTCCAAGAACTGGAAGAGAAATGTGCTACCAGAGGAGGTGCTGCCAGAAAGAATCTAGAAGGTGGCACTGACATTGCGCCCGAGTGGTAAGTGAGCTCTAAAAGGCCAAAGAAGGTGAAAACATCCTGATATGCTTTGGCTCTGTGTCCCCACCCACATCTCATCTAGAATTGTAATCCACGTGGTATTGATGGAGGGACCTGGTGGGAGGTATGTGATCGTCAGGGTGGATTTCCCCCATGCTGTTCCTGTGATGATGAGTTCTCATGCGATCTGATGGTTTAAAAACGTCTGGCAGGTCCCCTCGCTCTCTTTCCTGCTATCATTTAAACATGCCTTGTTTCCCCTTTGCCTCTGCCATGATTGTTAAGTTTCCTGAGGCCTCTCCAGCCATGTGGAACTGTGAGTCAATTAAACCTCTTTTCTTTGCAAATTACCCTGTCTCAGGTAGTTCTTTATAGCAGTATGAAAACGGACTAATACACATCCCTAATGAATTTCATGATCTAGCTAGATTTCTGGGCCCAGTGTTCTCCTGGCTGCCTATAATGAGAGTTGATCTAGGCTTGGTGCGAGATGAGATGGGCTTCCCAAAGCTGCCCAGGGGGTTCCAATGTACAACTAGGGCTGGGATCCACTATGCCTGGTACCAGGGCCAGTAAAAACAAGTAAGACAAGCTCTCACCTACAAAATTCTCAGTGTAAAAAGATAATAGGAGACGGATTTGAAAATTACCTGGAAAGCCACTCTTATTTAAGTGGTAGGAATGGGGGAATGCAGAATCACCCAAAACTCAAAGGGGGAGACAGGGGTCCCCACTTCACCATCAAGAATAATCCAACTGCAGGTGAGATCACCAAGGAAGAAATGGGGGCAAAGGACAAGGGTTGTGTTGGCCAGGCCCCTTTTTAGGAAAGACAGAGAGCCCAAGAGACAGGAAAATAATGGCCAGCAAATATGGGGCCAGGAAGAGAGGCAAACAGATGTGAGTGAACACAGGGGGTCCCCTCGAGAACAGAGAGTGCATTCTGACCAATCTTGGCTCCTGGTGCCTGGCACCAGGCTTGCCACACTGAGGGGCTCTCTGGCTACAGCACAGGCAGACACTTGAATAATCTGCACTGAAGATAGGAAAACCATTTTCCTCTGCCAGTGAAATAATCACCATCACTGCCAAACTAAGCCCTTATCTCCAACTAGCCTCTGAACTAAAATTAACTTCAAACCCACAAATTACTTAATTTAATTCTCGTTACTATCTTAAGAAGAAACTGAGGGAAAAAGAGATTCATTTTCCCAAGGTAACAGGAAGTGGGATAAATTAGAGAAATATTCCCATTCTCTTGCACAACATTTCTAAGTTCTGGGCTGGTGTGGGGGAAGCACCTTCCCAAACTCTTACTTACCCCAGCGCTGCTGGGCCCGGTTCTCCAGGAAGGGTCTCATTTGGATGAGGCGGGTGGCATAAATGTGGGCATACTGCCGGTTAAAGCTGCGCTCTCCTAGCCGGAAGGGTTGCGAGGAGTTGGTGTAGGTTGCCACTGACACACGAGCAAAGGTGGCATTGTTGGCTGATGGTGGGGACAGCAGAGTGTGGGCCCTCTGGGCAGCCTGCTCAGAAAACATGGCCACACTCCTGGCTTGCTTGGTCCACACAGCTTTCGCCCAGGCCAAGGAGGGTCACTGTGAAAACACAAAGGCATTCCTGCTGCCCCTGCCTATTTCCAAAGCAGCAGCTCTCCTGGTGTCTCAATGCACCCAAAGGGTACTGGGAAAAAGGGGGAACAGCTGTAGTTGACACCAGACATTGTGTCCACTTGGAAATTTATTCTGTCTGGATACCGATGTCTCACCCTGTAGCTGCCATCCAAAAAGAGAAAAGGAAACCTAGGAGTGTCTGTCCCACCTGGAGTTCTCCCGGAACCCCAGACTCAGGTGTCCTGTTCCATCTGGACAGGGTCTCAATCAAGTTCAGCGTGCCCTAAATGGAATTCCTGATCTGCCTCCATCCAGCTCTCCAGCACCTGCCTCATCTCCAGGCATGAGGCCTGCCTTATAAAATAAGCCTCCCATGAAATAATAACCCTATTACTAAGCAATAATACAACAAACTGAACCAAAACATAAATCAGTCACTGCTCTGCTCAAAACTCTCCAAAGTGTCCTCATTTCATTGACTTAAGCCCCAAGTCCTTACAACTGCCTATGAGATCTGCTCCACTGGTCCTCTCCCCTCCTGGTTCCCACTCCTTCACCTTGGGTCCCTCCCCACAGCAGGGGGCCTCCGAACTTTTGCTTGCCCCTCTCCCACATACCTATAGGGCTCACTTGCCCTTCTCCTTCAAGTTCTTACATCTTTACTCACATGTCACCTTGTGCCCTGCCCATCGGAGTTACAACTGCAACCCTCCTGGGTACTTCAATTGTCATTGTTTAAAGCATTTGCCTGCTAACAAACTGCATATTTTAAATGTGTTGACTGCCTGCTCCAACTAGACCATAAGCTCTAGAAAGGCTGAGATTTTTGTGTTTTATTCCTGGAGGAACTATCAGTGCCACCAGCCACCTGGGGCTACGAAATATAGGAGATAGGGTGAGTCCAACTGTGATGTTTGGGTTGGACACAACGGATTTCCGAGAACAGTATAAAGAATATCCCAATAATTTCTTAACATACAATTGAAATGACAATATGTTGGATATATTTATGGATTTACCCCAACTGATTTCTGTTTCTTTTTACTTTTTCGTACACTTACTAGAAAGCTAAAAAAATTCCGTGGCGGCTTGCAATCTATGTCCACGGGACGGCACTGGCCTGGGACATAGGCTCTGCACACGTGTCTAACGAGTGACTTGGAAGGAGCTTTTGGCTCGAACCTGTTTGATGGCGGCAGCAGCCAGGCCGCGCTGCTCCGGATGGGGCTGAGGGCGCCAGCTCAGCTGATGCCCCCAGCTCAGCTCCACGCGGTAGCTGCGGAACGTCCGCTGAGACACCAACCCACGGCTCCAGGACCCCGACCTCGCGGCCTGGAACCGGCACGCCTAGCTGACCCCGTTTCCCCGGACCCCACTCACCGCGCGGCGCGCCGCATCCCGCCAATCCCCGCGCGCCTTCCCCGCCCATCGCCGCAACTCGCCAATCCCCGCGCGCCTTTCCCGCCCATCGCCTCATCTCACCAATCGCTGCCCTCCCAGCCACGTCTGTCACCAGACGCCGCATCCCGCCGACCACCGTGCGCCCCGCCCCTGGACGCCCAGTGAGTACGGAGACACACCCTCGGTTTCCTCGGCATCGCGGGCCGGCGCTGCGGGTCTCGGGTTGGCTGCTGGGCGTGCGGGGTTGGGCTGACGGGAGGTGTCGGCCTCGGGTGGGCAGACTGCGTCACCCCTCCAGGGCCTGCCCAGAGAACCCTCCCGGTGGTCGCGCGCAGCGTCCCAGCTTTCCCCGCGGAGCCGCCCACTTGTAGCGATGGCTACCCGCGAGGAGGATCCTAACAGAAAGAAGGCCCAAGCCCGCAAACCGGCCGGGGAGAAGGGAGGGCGCGGGGACTCGGGGTATCTCCCGTCCTGCCAGCGTCTGCGCCCGGAAAACGCATGGGCGGTTTCGGGGTCCTCCCCAGCCTGCCCACAGCTGCACACCAGCTTCCAGCCCAACACTGCCCAATCTCCATTGTCATTGTCCCCGTTATTCATACTCGTTCTTAACACCACATCTTTCTGGGTGCTGCCCCCACTTTGGGAATGCTGTTTTTTCCATCTCCACTAGTTTATAGGATTCCTCACCCCACCAAGAGGCGCTTCCCCACTAAGTTTCCCGGGCTCCTGCTGCGCACTGATTCTCCCACGTGTCCTCTAGCGCTACTGTTTTGCTCCTTCCCTGGGCCAGCTTCCTAAGTCCAGGTCTTGTCTCCACAATGATGGATATTAACTCTCGTTAATTATTACTTAATATTTTAATTTTTTGTTTGTTTGTTTGAGGCAGCGTCTCTCTGTGGCCCAGGCTGGAGTGCAGTGTGCGATCTCGGCTCACTGCAGCCTCGAACTCTTCGGCTCCAGTGATTCTCCCGCCTCAGCCTCCCGAGTAGCTGGGACCACAGGCCCACACCACCACGCCTGGCTAATTTAAGTTTGTGTGTGTGTGTAGAGACAGGATCTCCCTATGGTGCCCAGGCTAGTCTGGAACTCCCGTGCCCAAGCAATCCTCCCACCTCAGCCTCCCAAAGTACTGGGATTATAGCCGTGAGCCACCCCGCCCAGCCTTATATTTGAATTTAAAATGTGATATTTCAATTTTTAAACACCTTTGCAACTGCTTTGAGGTTTTGACACATTAATTCGCCTGCTCCTCAAATAATCCTTTGGGTCGGACACAGTGGTCCAGGCTTGTAATCCCAACACTTTGGGGTTGCAGTGAGCTAAAATTACACCCTGCACTCCAGCCTGAGCGACAGAACCAGATGCTGTCTCAAAACAAGCAAATAAAAAACCTTTGAAGCATGAACTATTGTTATTTTCCCACTTTACACATGAGGGAATTGAAGCAAGGAGGGCAAGAGAGATCACATAGCTAGTAAGTAATAGCTGGGATTCACACAAAGACAGCAGGACTTCTGCTGGTAAGGTTGTGCTCTTCTGGGCCTTCACCTGAAACATTGTACAGGTATTGGGCAAGCAAATAATTTTACTTCTTCCATTCCAATTCAGATGGTTTTTATTTCTTTTTCTTAACTGATTACTCTGGCTAGAACTTCCTATACTGTGTTGAATAGAAGGGGTGAAAGTGGGCATCTCTGTCTTATTCCAGTTCTTTTTTTTTTTTTTTTAAATTTAAAAATTAAAAAAAAAATATTAGAGATGGGGTTTCACCATGTTGGCCAGGATGATCTCGATCTCTGGACCTCATGATCCGCCCACCTCGGCCTCCCAAAGTGCTGGGATTACAGGCGTGAGCCACCCCCAGCCTATTTCAGTTCTTAAAGGAGAAGCTTCCAGGCTTTCAGCATTGACTACGTTGTTAGCTGTGAGTTTTGGGATTTGGTGTATGGATTTTATTATTTGAGGTAGTTTCATTCTGTTCTTAGTTGGTTGAGCTTTTTCTTCTTTCAAAAGAGCGTTGAATTTTGTCAAATACTTTCTTGACATCAATTGAGATGCTCGTGTGTGTTTTTTTTTTTCTGTTAATGTAGTCTATTACATTTATTGATTTTATGTTGACACGTTCTAGCATTTCAGGAACAAATCCCATTGGGTGGAGTTACGAACCAAAATTACAGTAATACTAGCTTTTAGGCCGGGCGTGGTGGCTCACGCCTGTAATCCCAGCACTTTGGGAGGCTGAGGTGGGCGGATCACCTGAGGTCAGGAGTTCGAGACCAGCCTGACCAATATGGTCAAACCCCAACTTAAAAAAAAAATACTAGTTTTTATTGTATTCTCTTTTGTATAATTAATTATATTTTAATTGCTCCTGTATTTTCTTTTACCAGAGATCGTTATTTCTCTCATCCAAATACTAACCAGGCCCAGCTCAATCGTTATTTCTCTCATCCAAATACTAACCAGGCCCAGCTCTGCTTAGCTTCTGAGATTGGACATGTTCAGGGTAGTATGGCCATAGATGAGATCTTCATTCAGCTTTTTTTTTTTTTTTTTTTTTAGAAAGAGTCTCACTCTGTCCCCCAGGCTGGAGTGCAGTGTCACAATCTCAGCTCACTGCAACCTCCACAGGTTCAAGTGATTCTGTTGCCTCAGCTTCCTGAGTAGCTAGGATTATAGGCATGCACAACCACTCTAGGCTAATTTTTGTATTTTTAGTAGGGACAGGGTTTCATCATGTAGGCCAGGCTGGTCTCTAATTCCTCAGGTGATCTGCCAGCCTCAGCTTCCCAAAGTGTGGTGATTACAGGTGTGAGCCACCTTGCCTGGCCTCTTTATTCAGCTTTGAATCACTGTCTAGTATCCTTTCATTTCAACCTAAAAGGCTCTCTTACACTTCTTGCAGGGCAGGTCTAGTGGTAATGAACTTCCTCAGCTTTTGTTTATCTGGGAATGTCTTCATTTTCCACTTATTTTAAAAGAATGATTAAGTCAGATATAGGATTCTCAGCTGACAAGATTTATTTTTTTGTTTTAACACTTTGAATATATCAATCTACAGCCTTTTGGCCTTTGAGGTTTCTGATGAGATATCTGATAATCCTTTTTTTTTTTTAAGACAAAGTCACACTCTGTCACCCAGGCTGGAGTGCAGTGGTGGTGCAATCTCAGTTCACTGCAACCTCTGCCTCCCAGGTTCAAGCGGTTCTCCTGCCTCAGCCTCCCAAGTGGCTGGGATTACAGGCATGTGCCATCACGCCTGGCTAATCTTTGTATTTTTAGTAGAGATGGGTTTTTGCCATGTTGGCCAGGTTGGTCTCAAACTCCTGACCTCAAGTGATCCACTTGCCCTGGCCTCCCAAAGTGCTAAGATTACAGGTGTGAGCCACTGCGCCCAGCCAAGATATCTGATAATCTTTTTGAAGATCGCTTGTATGTGATGAGTCACTTTTCTCTTGCAGCTTTCAATATTGTCTCCTTGTCTCTGAGCTTTAGCAGTTTGATTATAATGAACCTCAGTATGAGTATCTTTGAGTTTATCCTACTTGGAGTTTGTCGAGCTTTTGAATGTTTATATTCATGCCATTCATCACAGTGAAAAGTTTTCAGGCATGATTTCTCCTACTAATCTCTCTTCACTGTCTTCCTGGAATTTCCACAATGGGTGTTAGTCCGCTTGATGGTGTCCCACAGGTCTCTTAGGCTCTATTTATTTTTCTTCCATCTTTTTCCTTTTTGTTCCTCAGATTTGGTAATTTCAATGCCCAGTCTTCAAGCTTGCTGATTCTTTTTTTAAATACATTTTATAATTATTTTATTTTACATAATTTTCTTTCTTTTTTTTTTTTTTAAAGAAAGGCAGACTGCCACATGCAGCGCCTCATTTGGATGTGTCTGGAGTCTTGGAAGCTTGACTACCCTACGTTCTCCTACAAATGGACCTTGAGAGCTTGTTTGGAGGTTCTAGCAGGGGAGCGCAGCTACTCGTATACCCTTGACCGAAGACCGGTCCTCCTCTATCGGGGATGGTCGTCATCTTCGACCGAGCGCGCAGCTTCGGGAGGGATGCACATGGAGCGGTGAGGGAGGAAGGGGACACCCGCCTAGCCAGCCAGATCAGCCGAATCAACCCTGGCGATCAATGGGGTGACAGATGTCGCAGCCAGATCGCCCTCACATCCCATAATTTTCTTTTTAAAAGATAGGGTTTTCTTCTATGTTGCTGAGGCTGGTTTCAGACTCCTGGACTCAAGCAGTCCTCCTGCCTCACCCCTGCAAAGTGCTGGGTTACAGGTATGAGCCACTATGCCTGGCCAAGTTTGCTTATGTCTGCCTTTGAAGCCCTCTAGGGATTTTTTTCGTTATAGTTATTGTATTCTTCAGCTTCATAATTTTTTTTTTTGCTACCAAAAAAAAAAAAAAAAAAACCCAAGAAATTTTCTGTCACTTTATTGGAATTTCCATTTGTTCATACATCATTTTCTTGACTTTGTTCATACACTTTAGCTCTTCAAGCATCTTTAAGATAGTTATTTTAAAGTATTGTCTGGTAAGTAGGCCATCTGATTTTCCTCTGGTATGGTTTCTGCTTATTTATTCTTTTTCCTTTGAGTGGGTCTTACTCACCTGTTTCTTTGTATGCCTTGTGATTTGTTGTTGTTGTTGTTGTTGAAAACTGGACATTTGCATCTCATGATGTGGAAACTCTGGAAATCAGGTGCTTCCCATTTCCCCAAGTTTGCTGGGTTTTTTGTTTTTGTTTTCCTTGTTTGTTTTAATTTTTTTTTTTAAATTTTTAGAGATAGCACCTTGCTCTGTTGCCCAGTCTGGAGTGATGTGTTGATTTTTTTTTTTTTTTTTTTTGATTATGAGAAATGTAGCTCAGGACACACGTGGGCATTAGACCAAGTTGGCGGCCATCCTTACATTGTGGGATGGTGTACATTACTCAAGACTGAGGCTTGAAATGACACGTGGGCCCTGAAGTTAGGCTAACCCAGCTGCAGTTCAGTAGTGGGTGAAGGGCAG